GGGTGCGGGGTGGGGTGGTGGCGGGGGAGGACGTTGTGGAGAGAGTGGTGGCACGGGCGGACGCTGAGGCTGTGCAGGGTGGGCGATCGGCAGTGGATGTTCATGTGGAGGGCTTGCAACAGGCGGTGGATGAGGCTGTGCAGGYAGGACGGCGGCGAGACGARGGTGTGGGTGACGCACGATGTGTGGTCCGGGAGACAACGACGGGTCTAGTCATTCCGTTCTCGGGCCTGCACTTGGCTCAAGGCCGACAGTCGCAGCCGGTGCCGGTGGCAGTGCATGGTGTGTCGCCAACCGTTATCACGGATTTGGGGTCCGAGCCGGTGGTTGCGCCACCGCGTCTTCCTAGTCACTTTGCTCCGCAGGAGGTCCGCCGTCCTTTGGATGCAGACGAGTTGGCGAGACAGGCTGTCCGCGATGTGACTCGCTTGGACCGGCGGGTCTTTGACCAGAGGCTACAGCATCCACCATGGCAAGCGATCCCTCCAGTTCCATGGGGTCCTGCATCGTCGGTGTGGTCTGGGTCTACCTCCACCGGAGCACGTACGGCGGGAGATGTTCCAGGGGTTTCAGGTGGTGTCGTGGAGACGGCGCCACGTACACGAGACATGCCACCCCCTCCTCCTAGACCACATGTAGGTGATCCATCATCTTCGCCCACAGGCAGAGGCTCTCGATCTCCACACACACCTGGGAGGTCTAGGATTCGGGACACTACAGCCGTTGTGGGGGACGTGAGTGACACAGCGTTGTTCGGGAGGACAGACATAAATTTGGATTCCACCCGCCGTGTCACGGAGCACACTGCACGTCTACAGCCGGGTTTGGGACCCCGTGACGGCAGGATGACCGCAGCGAGGGAGGTGGCAGCATCAGGTTGTGAGCCTCAGCGAGGTCGCGACAGAGGAGTGTCCGCCAATAGCTTGGAGTACGCTCTGATGGCAGCGACGCGTGCCGTACATGAGCAGACTCCACGCAAGCGCAGAGTGCCTCCTCGTCCACGCCCCGTGCCCGCAGAGGGAGGAGATGCACTTGGAGAGACTTCGGGGGCAGAGGGGTTGGGGATGCCTCGTTGATCGCGCCGTGAGCAGACGGTTACAGAGGCTAGTGCGAGGGTTGTTGTGTTGAGGAAGGCAGGAGCCCCTGTCATCATCGAGGAGGATGATCCTGAAACAGATGCGGCAGTGCGGGAGGAGGACGAGGACTATGAGGGCGAGGAGGAGGGAGAGGAGGAGAGCGAGAGAGGTTCCGATGGTGACAACGACCACGATGAGCACGAGCCCCCACCTCCCCCACCGAAAGGTGCAGCCAGACGGCGCGTTGTGCACACTTCTTCATCATCACGAAGGAGGAGGAGTTCGACATCCGGCACACGAGGGGGTACGAGGAGACAGAGCGGGAAGGGGAAGAAGCGTCGTTGACTGATGAGGCCAACACTCATATTTTCCCCTGCTCGCACTGAGGTTCGTCATGTTGTGCGGTCCTAGTTTTTTTGGTCGTCTCGTCTTGTCTTAGTGTTGTTAGGCTCTCAGTGGTTGTGTGCGTGCAGCGTGCTACAGATGTATTAGATGATGTTTCCTTTGTTTTCGGTGTTTATGATTTTGGTACCAGTATGGTGTTCGTAGAGTAGAGTTGTACCAGTAGGGTGTTCGCAGAGTAGCTACGACACGACTTGTACACTACAGTTTCGTTTGTTTTTTTTCGACATGTGGTACCACTGCCTTAGCAGTAGCCTGTAGGATACATTGCATATGTTGCATTTTTCATTTCTGTTTTCAGTGAGAGGTACTTTGCATCGTTGAGGACTTTTCATGCACAGTACATTTTCCATGTACAGTTGCAGTTTCGATTGATGCTCGTCGTGGTCGGCGTGCGCGAGCTTTCGTGATTATTTTCATCTGGTGTGATTTTATATATTTCATTGTTGTTATCATTTGCAATCTCATTTCCTGCGTTTGACGCCGTTTGTTTCTTGTACAATTCTACTTTAGTTTTTTGCCTGAAGAGTTGCTTGTGTGCTTGTTCTTTCTTTTTTTCTTTTCTGTGTTGATTGTTGAATCAAATTATCATTGTATGAAGTACTAACTGATATTTGGGGGGGGAGGGGTTGGATGCGAAC